TGTTTATTTCTTGCCTTTGATAATAAATTTTTTAAATTGTAATTCATTTATGTTGGGGGGCATACAGAGAGAGGGAGAGAGAGGATCCCAAGCAGACTCCATGCTGTCAGCACACAGCCTGGTGAGGGGTTCAAACTCACAAACTGTGAGATCATGACCTGAGCCGAAACCAAGTGTTGGACGCTTAACCAACTGAGCTACCCAGGCGTCCTGATAATAAACTTTTTTATTGAAGTATAAAGACTTTAAAAATCCAAAAAGGCAAATCTGGTAGAGACCTGGGGACTCAGGCCTGGCTGAGATGAGTGAGTGTCGGGGTGGAAGGGTCCCCTCTTGGAGGAGGCAGCAGGAGCCAAGTGAAGAGCCTAGAGCTGAGCAATCTTCACAGGGGGCCCACTTGGCTTCCAGGAACATCCTACTTGGGAGTGTGTCCAGAGGCACAGCGCAGAGATTTGTAGAGCCCTGGAGTGGAGACATATGCCGTCTCCTCCTCCAGGACTCCCCCCACCCCCAGTCTCTACAAACAGTTTTCCTTAAGCCCCAGATTTGGGTGGGATGGAGGGCAGGGGGGAGCACCCACACTCGGAGAGAAGCTACACTTCCCAACAGGCGCCAGCTCGTGGTTCAGACACACTTCCTCCTGGGACCTTCCATGTCAGTCTTAGGCTCACAGAGGCTCATTTGGGTGGTGGGTGAGGCTGGACCCCGGCTTTGTTTCTCCCTGTAGTGCCCAGCATGGACTTACCAACTGCTGGCCTTTGAATATGGGGTTCTACCTACTGATCTCAGCTGGGAGCCACTCTGAACTGACACCAAGTCCCATTCACTGTTCTCCCTAATTTTCTACCCTGATAATTGGGAAAGAATGCAGGTGAAGTACCTAGCACCAGGGGCCCCCAGAAGTGTTTGCCAGTGGACAGATGAGCAGAGGCCATACCCTGGGTACCATAGGCCTCAAAACAACTCCTAAAGTCCTGAGATATTGAATCCCCCACACCTGGGGCCTTCAGAAGCCCATGGCCCATTTTACATCATCCTCCGTGGCTGATGCACAGCTGCCCTTGGAGGTGATGCTGAGATGTCCCACCCTCTCGTCCTGTGCCACGACTCTTCAGGGGAGGGCCCACCGCAACCCTCCGGCTCCACACCTCTGCGCCCAGCTTCTGCTCAGAGCCTGCTGTCCAGGCTGAGCCAAGAGAGCCACGTGGGCAGCCTCAGCCTCCAAGGACACAGTGTTTAACTGTCCCCCTTGGGCATGCCACTGCCCAAGCTGTCCAAGTTACAAGCCATGGGTCCAAGGTGGGGAAGCCCTTGGCTTGCCATCACTCTCCTCAGACCTCACGGGTGCCCAACTGCACTCCCACCCCTGAGCCCCACTTCTGCTCCCTACTCTGCCCCCTAGATCTCTCTCCAGGCCTGGGTCAGAGTGGAACCCAGCCTTCCCATGCCCATCCTGGCTTCTCTATCCACAGTCCCAGGGGCCCCACTCCATCCAGGAGTGAGCACAAGAACAGACAGGGAGGGGTCCTCAAACCCTTCACAGGCCCCACCCTAGTTAGTGCCCATTTCCTCGGAGGCTGGTCAGGCATCTCTTCCTCTCCCAGTCTGGTTGGTCTGGTCACTGAGGGCAGGCTGATCTCAGTGCTCAGGGCCAGTTGCTGGCTCTGGGGGCTTCTAGGTCCCAGGCCCCTGGAGCTGATAGCAGGCTGCCATCCCCACATATGGCTCCTCTCTTCATGGCCTTCCCTTTTCTCTTACCTGCCTCCTTACAGCCCATTCTTCATGCTACAGCCCTAAAGTCGTTTAGAACCACAAAGTCAGTCAGATAGCCTCATGCTTCATCCTTTGATGGCTTCCGTTGCTCTTGAGACATAGACAAAGCCCCAGTTTGGCAAGGAGGTGAAGGAAAATAACACAGCACCACCCAGCACATGGCAAGAAGAGGCCTGCAATCCCCCACCGAATGCATGCTCCAGAACAGCCTTGTTTTCAGGAAGGAGCCACCAGGTGCAGGTGCCAGGCAGTCTGGGTGTGGCTGCCTGCAAGCAGGGAAGTATCTGAGAATGCCAGCTTCTGGTACCTGAAGACCCTACTGGGAGTTAGACTTGGGCCATGTGGGAAGGGGACGCTTGATCGCATGGGGAGTTGAGTTCAGGTGCAAACCCTCCTTTTGGGGGAGGAGGAGCCAGCTTGGTGCCTGGGCCTCCGGGCTCATTCACCAAGGAGTCCTTATTGTGCCCCAGGTGAGCTGGCCTCCTCTTGGTCCACAGACCGCACACAGTCCCTCTGTCACCAGCTTCTGCTCATGCATTTCTCCTGAAACTTCCCTCCACCCCTTCTCTAGGTCTCTGTTCAAACGCCACCTCAAGGACATGCCTGAGGACCCAACTGTTCACAGCCTCCTGTCCATCCTATGGGGCACTCACTAATTGTGTCATTTATAGTGATTGTCATCTGATTGTGTCCTCTCCCTCCCTGGATCACGAATGGGTCTGTTTGTTTCATCTTTGTGACCTAATGCCCTACAAAGTGCCTACACATTGTCTCTGGAAAATCTCCATGGTCCTTGCTTCTCAAAGTGCTGTCCAAGGACCGACCATATCATTGTCACCTGGAGCTTGCTAGAAACGCTCCAGACCTACTGAATCAGCTGACCCATCCACATTAAATGGGTGAGGTGCTGATCTAGACTCTTCAGAGGATGTAGGGGTGGTGGAAGCTGCCCTGAGGGCACACCGAGGCCACCCAGGGATTAGCAAGAGCAGTACATGCTGCCATGAAAGCTAGAAGGACAGCAGGAGGAAGGTGGGCCCTGGGACTGCAGGGGTGGGAGCGGTCCAGCAGGGTGCTGTTGATTGTGCTCACGAGTGGGAGCTGGAGCCTAGGTGGGGATGCAGCTGCTGGCAGAGGTGCCATGGTGAGCAGAGTGTGGAGCATGAACTCCCATCCCTCCTTTCTGGTCTCCTGTCTTCTGCACCTGCCTCCTACTGGCCAAACCGGCCTGGAAGCCAGAGGTAGGGGGGCTTGACAGGTGTGGCTCCCTGGGAAAGAGAACAGAGTAGGGAAGGGCAGTGGGGCACATAGGTTATCGCTCTTCGACCCCACTCCCAACCTGCCACTGTAGCCAGTAGATGGTGTGGGTCCCCCACCCCAGCAGGCAGATCAGCTCTCTCAGCTCACCTACAGGTGCTCTTGCTCCTTGATTTGTTTCACCCCTCTCTAGGGGCTGCTCATGGAGGGGTGGCCTGAGTCTTGGGTGGGCAGAGGTGCGAGCTGTTTGCCTGGCCAGACTCTGGGTTCCCTGAACCAGCCAGAGCCACCCTTATGTCCAGCATGACCTAGGAGTCTATGCGCCATCACACGCATCACCCCCCCCACACACACACACACACACGCACACACACACACACAGAGTGCCAGGAGAAAAAGGGGTTGTGTGTGCACTGTGGTACACAATGGAGCCCTCACCCACAGCTCACCACTGACCTGCTGCTTGCTCCTCATACCTCACTGGCATGGCTGGAAGTGGGAAAAGCTTTCTAGGCCCCTCATCCTCAGGGGAGTTTTAGAAGCACAGGAAGCAGGAAGCCCGAGGGCCGCCCTCGGTGGCTTAGGGGGCCTGGGTGTCTGCACAGCCAAGGGGCCAGGGAGGCAGGGGGTATGACGTTTTATGTTAGATCAAGCATGAGTTAGACACAACTCAGTCTTGAGTCATCAGCCAACGCATAACCCACACTTGCTGGGGGACTAGAATCAACCAGCGTCATGGACATTGTCCACAGGGCCCTGATGCCAACTTTACTTTCTTCTGAGCCCCAGAATTCCTGTCTATTATGGAGAAGTCCTGAAAGGTCTTATAAGAAAAGCCAGGAGGGCAGGCCCCTGGCCCCTGCATTTCTGTCTTTCTGGCCACAACACCAGCATCCAGGGAGACAGGTCTCTCTGACTGGTCTAGCAGGCAGTCCTGTAGTGCCATTCCCATGTCATTCCCATCCTCTTTACTGCTAGGGATCAGCTTCCTCATCCTGAGGCTGGCAAGGGCTATCTGGTTACCCAGAGACTCCTGGGAAACTCCCAGGAGCTGTTGCCAGGGGAATATTAAATGTCTCAATGAGTATGTTCCTGTAGGCACCTAGCCAGCAGCTCACCTGGGCCGCCCCTCACCTGGAACCGGTGGGGTTACAGACAAACCCTGTCAGGATAGGGTCCTCTTTCCCAAGAACCAGAGTGGGGGTAGAGGGCATAAATTCAGAAATCCAGAAAAGCTTGCTCTTCTGCTAACCTCTGCTGTAGGGCAGGAGGTGTAACTCTGCCCTTTCACCTGCTGTGAGCGCCATCCGTGCCCCTCCACCAGTATAGGCCTGCCCATAGGGAGCCAACTAAGTGGCCCACTGGTCCTGCTAATGTCCCCAGAGGCATCCCAGAGTCCTTTTGTTCCCTGGGGCCCACCTCTTTGTGGCTCCTCCCGCCCTTACTCCCCATTCTGGGGTGCTACCACTGAGGAGCCTCCTGTGCAGCCTGTGAGAGCCAAAACAGGGACTAGCCTGGGTACAGCCATGGGGCAGAGTTTACACAGCACTGTGGGACCCTTTCCTGTACCTTCTGATGCCCACATTCTTGGCCAGGCACTAAGAGGTATTCCCTATGCCCATCTTGCCAGGTCCATGTGTGATGTTTCACTAAGTCCAGTCTGGGGGTTCCAATCTCACACCCAGCCAAGCACCATGCACTTATCAAACCACAGCAGTGTTCCAGGTTCTGGGCTAGCATCAGTTATAGTGGCTGCCCTGAGCACGCTTGCTGTGTTATTGGGAGGCAAATGATGCAATCCTCCCCTCTAGACACTGGCCACTTTCTCCCCTTAGCTGGAAGTTTCTGTCGAAGGGAGTCAGAGCCGGTTGGTTAACAGGTACAAGAGAGGAATTGGGAAACAGAAAGTCAAGGAAAATCGAGTAAAGCCAAAAGAACAAACTTCTAACTTGAAAACTGATTACACACCCTAGAGAGGCATGTACCTTGGGCACGCCCAGCCGCCCGTGTAAAGCAAGAACTTGCTACAGATTTCAACAATGAGATTCATTCCTAAGAGCCTCTGACATTTCCTAGCGGCATGCAGAGCACCCCAACTGGGTCACACAGAGAGAGGCTTGAACCACCCTAGGCACTATACACTTTTTTTGACCTTTTGGTAACATGCTGGAACAGCAGGAGAAGCAATTTTCTTCCTCTCAGTGTTTTAACTGATCTCAACCAAGTTCCTGAGCTCTTCCCTACAAAATGGAGCATTTGTCTGGCGGAGGGGTGGGGGTTGGGGGGAAGGGGAGATGGGAGGAGGGTATCCACTTTAACTTCTGAGAGCCCAGAGCTATTTCTGACTGCTCAGAGATAACAAGGTATGCGGCAGGATGGAAATCTACACAAGACACAGAGATGTTCTCAGTGAACAGTGATTCTAGCCTATGATGCATGTCTGGGTCCGTTCTCAGTGAGTAAACCCATAAGCCCTCATTTATTTGAGCATTGCATGCGTGGACCTGGAAGATTTTGGATGAAATCCCTGAATTTGAATTGGCTTTGTCTTTTTATGTGACTGTGGACCTGTTACCTTTGCAGGAGGATTCCCAAAGCTGTAAACATTGTAAATTTCCTCTCGTGCTGGCCCAGCAGGTCAGGCGACCTTGGCTGGCCTTCCAGCCATACCCCTATCTGCTGTCAGGATCTGGAAGTCACAAGGAACAGAAATCTCTGAGACTCAGTTTCTTCATCCATAGAATGAAAGTGTTAAAACTTGCTTCATTCATGAGGAAATGTCTAGGGTGCCCTGGCCTGCCTCACACATAATTGGGGCCCCAAATTTACAGGGGCTGCCAAGGCAGAAGAGAGGAAGCCTTGACTTCGATGTTGGCACAGTACAAATTTTGTCACCTGGAGCCCACCCCTGGAGTCTCTGATTTAGTTAGCCTAGGATATGGCCTAAGCACCGGGATTTTTTTAAAACATTTTTTAAGCATAAAGACCTGCATCTTTATGCTATTGCTTTCCATTTACACACCTGGACTCACAGGTGAGCCCTGTCCCCAACCCACAATTCATTCCAGTGCCCTCAGCTCTGGCTCCATCTGCTCTGGACAGTGCTGTGGCTGCAAGCAGCCTGCACCCAGGAGCAAACTCTCCCCTCTCCTCTGACATGCACCTTCTCTGGTCAAGGTCTGAATCCACGCTCCAACCCGACCTACCTGAGCCCCTGAAAAGTACAGAAAATCCCTGGTGCTGAGGAATCCAGGTACATGGCAAGGGCTGTGATGAGCAGAGCTATGAAGTATGGAAGGCAGGCAGAAGAGGCAGGGTTCTTAGCCTGGGGTCTGCAGGTAGAGTTCAGGGCATCCATGAACTTGGGTGAGAAAAAAACCATAAGAACAAAGTGAGGGTTGATGGGGGGTGGGGGAGAGGGGAAAGTGGGTGATGGGCACTGAGGAGGGCACCTGTTGGGATGAGCACTGGGTGTTGTATGGAAACCAGTTTGACAATAAATTATATATTTAAAAAATGATATTGTTTGCACTGACCTCTAGCTGAAATTTAGCATTTTCCTTCATTACAAGTGTGGACAAAACCTGTGCCTTGGTCACCAGTGGGTATCACTGCTACTTTTACATGATGGTAGGGTTGTTGCATAATGGCACAAGATTGGTTTTACTCAGCACTACTTCTCAATTACGGGCCCTCCTTACACCTGCCACCAGACCTTGTTGACTTGTTAAGAAGCATGCACGTTACTCTCTCACACATTTATTATTTAATCTTTTAGTAACAATATTTCACTGTGATTGGTTTCCTTGGTAATCTTGTGTATTTGATTTTATGCAACACGCCTGGAAAGGGTTCCATAGGCTCCCCGGGACTCCATAGTGGTCCCTGGCACCACGGTTAAGAACTGTGGAGTAGAAGTTGAGGCAAATGTTCAGAGACCAGGACGTGGAAGCCACGATTGTGAGGGGCTAGAAGGGGCCTCCCCCGACTACCCCACAAAGGCTGCCTGGAGGTCTTGGGAACTGGGATACAACTGCCTGTGACAAGCCCCTGGATCCTTCAGGCCTGGTTATCTAGCTTTGTCTGGATCCCCAGATGCAGCCAGAATCTGGCAAGAACTGCCAGGCCTCAGGGCCCCCCATCCAACCCAGTCCCTGAACCCTGGTGCCAGCCTGTAAGTCTTGCCTTCCCCGTTGCCCAGATAAACTTCGCTTCCTTGCAAGCAACAGAGTTCACCAACATCCAGTGGGGACAGAGTCTATAGGAGGCCTTGACCACCCAGAGGCAAGGGGACCCAGGGTGTGGCAGGGTGGATCCAGGGTGTGCTGCCCCCAAGACAGCAAACTTAGAGATGAATGTTCCATCTGCCATCTTGATCCAGCTCACTCTGAGCAAGTGAGCTTAGTGCCTCACTGGAGAACTAGAAGTGGCCTTCAATGCAGGCCAGGTCCAGAAAGCTGCTGGGCCTCCTGGAGAGGGCTGGACAGAGCATGGGGGTGACCTGGAGACTAGGAGGTGGGACCCAGGTGGGGCTGACTTGCAGGACCTGGGGGTCCTCCCTTTCCAATACAGAGCAGGTGGAGGCCCAGACTCATGCCCCAAAACACAGACCCTCCAGCTGGGCCTGCCCCTCTGCTCTTCTCATTCCGAGATGCTGTGGTCTCCACCAAGGGACTCGGCCTTTCCCTTATCATCTAAAACTTCTCAGAACTCTAGTTCTGAAAGCAAACACTTCACAGCTCCTCCCTGAGGACCAGGAAGCCTACAATTTCACAGCAGCTGCTCTGGCCAGCCCTGCCCATGTGTTCCCTGCTCGGGACTCTGTGTCCCCAGCAGTGGTGGGGTGAGTAACCATGTGATGGGTTGGAAGAGTGAGGCCCCCCCCCCTCTGCCTCACAAAGCCCCGAGGACAGGCCAGGGCAAGAGAATTCCTGGGATTGTTTTGTAGTTTTTATTTGTGTGACCTGATACCAGCACATCCTTTAACAATGAAATCATACAGAAAGGCTTCTATGAAAACTCGTCCCCTGTCCCAACCCTCCTACTTCCTTAGTTCCACCTCCTGGAAGCAACCATTTTCAATCCCTTAGTATCTCTTCTGCCAGCTATCTCCATATTTGTAAACAAAAGGCTTATGTCACTGAATCTTGTTTAGAAGGATGTGGAAAGGGACTTTTCCTATTGTTGGGTAAAGACCCAAAGCAGAAGCCAAGAGGCTTAAGGGCCCCCACATTCTAGAAAGAACATCACAGAGCTGCTTGACAGCCCTCCAAGGCCACCTCAGAGGAGCCCAAACTGGTCTTTGGACCTCTTCCCCACCCGGTCGCCATGTTGCAGAAGTACACTGGTGTTTTTCCTCCCAAGAAGCTGAAGGCTCGGTGAGTCTCCTCACCCCTACTTCTTCACAGGGATATCTGTCTGGGTTCTTTGTTGGGGGACCCTGATACCAGTTTTCCCAGAGAGGAGCCGAGTAGAGAAGAGGGATGGTGGGAGAGAACGCATCTCAGTATTTACTTAGCCCCTGTTTTGGTTCAGTAGCCCCATGCTCAGTACCTTTGTCTGATGGCCACCCCCCCCCCAGTGCAGAGATCCCCCAAGTACCTCCCTTGCCCACTCCAAGGATACCCTTCAGTCTTCTACATGATGGGGAGACAGCTGTGCAGAGTGGGGAAGACTCCAAGGGCTCCAAACAGCATCCTGCGATCCCCCTGTTGGCCTCCTCCCTCCCCCTCACCTCTTCCGAGGTACCTGGTTCTGCTCACAGTGAAGCCTTTGGTGGATCCCACCACATAATCAAGTGATTGTGGGTGATTCATGGTTGTTCCCATTGTTAGTTTTGGTCTTGGCTTTCTCAGGGTTACTGAATCAGTTTCCACTTATCCACCTGCTTCTAGGTTCCAGATGGTTTGTGGTTTCCTCTGCCATTCTCCCCATCTTTGGAGGTTGATGCCTTTCAAATATCCACTGACTGTGATTTTTGTGGAAGTTTTGGAG